CATGAAGTCCAGATTGTTTCTGCACTAATTTACCTAGAAAATTCGATTTTAATTGCGCGCGAGGGTCGTTAGCCGTGCTCTGCGCTACAATAAAACGTTGTCGGGCCCAGTAAGTGCCGTTAATAATCACGAATTACATAACGATAATACAGTATTATGCTAATTACAATGAACCAGTGTTCCCCAGATATAATCATCCGTTACCTCTGATCGCCCTTTGAAACCAGACCTGTTTGCTAGAAAAATACATTTTCGATGAAAACTTAACAAAAACGTGCAATTTGTAGAACGGAATTCCGAACAATACTTATGTACCATAAAGTAGGCATACTCAAATCAATTTCCTTCAACCAAGCACGCATTACCGGACATTAATCCGATGCATATTCATCGTTAACGAGTCCCGATCCCATACATCGCGCTTCAAATTAAACACCGCGCATAATTGCGCGCGCGGCGGGACTCCCGATGCCAAGAAAATTAAAGAACATTACAATTATTCTAATTAGGGAGCGCCACGCTAACGTGCAATTTCCATTTATTTTTTTCCTTTTCTTCGACAAAAGCCAGCTGCATTCCACGCGGCCCGGTGTTCCCACGCGTAAAAGCTGGAGCAGCGAATTTCTCGGCTGCGAGGAGGAAACTGGCACACCGGAGCAAATCTGCCCGCGGTTAACAATGCTTAATTAGCGTCTTAAGCGTCGGCCGAGCGATGATCCGTAATCACGCTACAAGAGAGAGAGGGAGAGAGAGAGAGAGAGAGAGGTAATTAAGCCCGTGAGGAGATGGAGAATTTTTGAGTGGGACGCGAGGGAAAGAACGAACGGAGAGAGGACGAGTCCCGCGAGTCCTTTTCGCGGGCGAAATTCAACTCTCTTTGTGCTTCCGGTCACGTTTTAAGGTGACTTTCCAGCCTCCCCCGAAGGCCTCGCGTTCTCATACATCTGGTCCACGCCCACGAGAAAGACTATGGATTATTCTAAGCTCGCGACTCCGCAGGACTCCGAAATTCCTCGTGGTATCCGCGCGGCCGTGCCCGGAATATTTAATAGCGCCAGCAGGGCATAATGTGTAGCGGGCGTCTTGTCATCGGGGGCTGTCGCAACGAACGAGCAACAGCACCATACCGGATGTCCCGCGAAATGTATTCGATTGTAACTCAAATACGAATCTGTTCAACATTTTTTAGTATTATTTGTTTCACACTAGAGATGAAACGGCACAAGAATTTCAATTGACCAGCACTGAATTATTGTTCGTCGAAAGTATTCACGGTTACAGTGAACTGTAATTAAATTCTTGAAATTGGGACATGTATTTTACGTTACTGCGTGATACTAGTAGCCCTGAGATAGATTTAAGAATTATCTTTCGCATCTTCGGTGTATTCTCTAATATATTATGCCTATTAACGATTGCAAGACTATTCACAAGATTTTTGGTTTTCATTTGGATTTTATAGGCAGTTGTTAAATATTTCAGAAATTACTTAAATGGCGAAGTATTCTCTCGATGTTATTTACATGACAAACGATGTTTATTTCAAGGCAACGTGTAAAATTCAAGGAAGCAAACAAGTAGAAAACGTGAGAGACCGGTACGAACGATACACAGTGCATTGGAAATACATAGACGCCAATTACACGAGCTTGCTCTCTAATGTATCAATCACGGCGCGAAAATAAAACACACAATCGGCCGTTTTCAAGCAGATAAAACGATCGCAGGTACGATCGTTGCACATATTTATCTCCGGCCACGGTAATCGACCGTTATTATGGAATAAAACGAAAGACGCTCGCACAATTGACTGAAACTGAAACGACCGTGGGACAGTCGTGCGGTAAATTAAATAATACCATTAAGGAATAACATATAATAAAGAAGGAGTCGATGTCCGTTGCACGGTGAAAACGTGGCCAGCAATAAAACGATCTCCGTTAATGATTCAACTGTATTTTCACTTTATCTTTATCCACTTGAGGATTTTTTTAAGCGTCACTTTTACTTCCGTTACATAAACCCGTGTCCGCAAAAGCCTCTTTCGAAGGATATTTCAATCAATTATGATGAAGCGCGGTTTACGGCTCGCGGATTGCTCGATCCACGCGATCCCTTAACTTTCCATCTTTCACGGCCACGTGGCCACGGCGCGCCAGGCTCGCGAGAGTACGCCGCAGTTCTTTGTTTTCCGTCGGCAGGCATAAACGAGTCGCCGGCCAATGGACAAGAAGACGAAATTGCTTTCACTACTCCTGAGTCTCTCGCTGACCGCCCATGTCGCGCGACATTACGGAGGAAAATTATATTGCAGTGTATTTACAAGAAGCATCCTCTTTTTCAAATGAAATTTCATTTTGGCGTCGTTGTCCTCGTGTTTAATGTAGAATTCCTGCGTTTACGAGATTATCATACTTTCAACTTTAGATTAAGCCGATGTTTGGAGCGAATGTGATATCCTCCATTGCGAGCCGCTCTGAAAATGGAATTCAGTTGATGCATGAAAGCTTCATCCCTTAAATACGTTCCAGTGGTTCAGCTATCTTGAGATTATGCGGAACAATTTCCGTTACAAAGGAGTCACTGAATATCCCGCGATAGCTCGACTGGCACGACCAATGAAATTTCGAGTTAAAATTCATACGGTATAATAGCGTTCGATGATAGTGTTTCAATCGTCAATTTCCATAGATATTAAAAATTCGGAGATCCGAGGCAATCGACAGTCGCAATGACTACCTGCTGTTCAAGCACGCTTATACAAAGTCGAACAGTGAAGAATTGAAATTCTTCGATGTCTGTATCACATGCAAATGAATTTCATTTATACTATCAGTATTTCGTTTAACTTAAGAACTGAAAGTTAATATTAATTGTAAAATGGTAAACGGTGTGAAAGAAAATGAAAGATTAATTACTGATCGATCACGCACGAAATCAGATCTATATTAAGTCGGCAATGAGCGACTTATCGGTTTATCTATCACGAGCAAGGAATCGACTGCGCAAACGTCTTAATAGCGAGCTGTGCGATAAGAAACGACGTTTGTCGGTATTAGCACTAAACGTATCGGCACTTTGCACATACCTATGCCTACTGCAACCAGTCAAATAACTGGTTACGAAATAAAGGTGAACAAGGTGGTCGATACATTCTTCTTAGTGGAAACAGAAACAAAAGGAAAGACAACAATTGAGAAACTGAATCGTACAATGTAGGAATTGATAGAAAGTCGAGTAAACGGAACAAAGCGCAGAATTTTAAATTAAATTTTACAACCGATTATTTGACCGGTCGCGATAACGTTAATAAACGTCTGTATCTATTTCGAGAGAATTTCTGCAGTGATTTGTGCGAACGAAGGGATAAAGGCTAATCCCGGATAATTATCGATAAATGCAAACCCTGAGCAACTTGTCTCTAGGGAGCGTGACTTATTACGTTACGAAAAGAAAATATTACACAAGGATGTATGGAAAGAGTGATAGTGACCAGAAAAATTCAGCGTATACATATACACGCTAATGATGCAAATGGGTTAATAAAACGCTTTGTTTGTAGCTAGGACTTGCATGGAAACCCGAACCGTCTTGGTTGATGCTAGAAAGGCAGTCTCTCGAATGTCACACAGTTCCTGGCAACCAGCTTTACTATTACGGTTTCATTCTGTCGAGCGAATATGCGGAGTGAATTTCAATGAACGCGAGAACTCCGAAACTCCAATAAGGCCATCGTATCTACGATCTTCGCTCGTCGATTTGCATAATCGTTGAAATCTCGGTTTAGCTCGCGTCTACTTGGATTTTTCGCTTCTCGGGCCTTTCGGCGTCCTTCGGATCACCTTGTTACACATTCAGCGAGTCTCGGTCGACGTTTTGCAACCATTAGACATGATAGTTCCTATCGGAGTATTCCGCGAACGTTTCTCGACGCTAACGTCCGGTACAAAATACTAATACTGATTCAATTACTCGCTTCTGACTTAAAAAGAAGTTCGTGCAATGTTCATTTCAAGGGTTCATTGTTATCTGATTCTTGAAAAATATTTATCCGCTTAAAATGCATTGCAGCGATAAGAGTAAATGATGATCATTTAGTCTAAGAGCAACTGTAGCATGTATTATAAATGATTGCAGTATCAATTAGGAAGATTTTCAAATTCCACTCAAAATCCATATCCAAGTCAAGCGACTCTAATCTCAAGGGATTAAGACGGCTCTCGGCGAGCAGAGAAACAGAATTGCGTTCCGCGTTTCGTTTTCTGCGCAGTGAAACCGCGACGAGGCGGGGAAGCTCAGTGACGGATCGTAGAACGAAGAAGCTGCCGCTAATTTCTTTTGCTCCCGCAGTCCCGACCGTGGGCATTAATTCAGTCTGCCCCTTATAATTCCCGCAGCGTGGTTGCTGGACGCGGAACATCAGCCGACTAGCCTAACAATTTTCGTTCGCTGTTTGAGGCGTTCGGTTAAGATCCGAGTCCTGTAGAATCCTAACGTTCCCCCAATCATTTCAGATGGCTTTATCGGAAGATTGACGATGCATCATTATCAGTGCACCCTTGACCCCCTGATGAAGCCAATTGCAATGATAGTGGAACGTTGAAACAAAATTCCTATACGATACGGATTTCATCCGAAAGTCTCAAACTTTGACCTCCAGGTTGTGAAAGTATCAAATCTACAATTCTCGTTCGCTTTGAGTTTTACCGTTACTGCAGTTGGCTTCGACAGAGGGTCTGAGATGCATTATCAGTGCATCATTGATTCCCCGATGAAGCCAACTGCACTGATGGCGAAACGTCGAAGTAAAATTCCTAGGGGATGTGGGCCTCATCCGAAAGTTTCAAACTTTTATCGTCCAGTTTGTGAAAGCATCAAATTTACAATTTTCGTTCACTTTTTGAGGCTTCGAGTGAGAAAAGCGTCACACGAAATGCTCAAACTCTGATCGTCCAGGCTGTGAAAGCATCAAGTCTACAATTGTCGTTTGCTGTTCGCAGGGGACATCGAGGATTGCCTGGTCGCACCGGTCGCCCAGGGACAATTCACACCGCTACCGGAAGCCCTTTGTTGGGCCATCCTCGAGCTGACGTCTCAGAGGCAGGCGGCAACCCTGGACACGCTGCGATCCGCGCTCAGGAACGCTTTCCCAGCGATGCAGAGACCGAACCGCGAGCTCGTTTACGACGCCCTCGCGAAGCTGATGCAAGAGCGAAAGATTTATCATACGTCTCAGGGCTATTTCGTCGTTACGCCGGAGACTAGGAGGCTGAGGCGCGACTCGAGCAACTCCAGGCGATGTTCCCGGGAGGTGAGCGGATCCAGGGGTCAGGGCAGCATGCTGATGACCAACGACGAGGCCATGGCTCTCGTGCACGGCGAGATGCTGACCTTGAGGGACGGCGATGTCACGCATCAAGCTGTGCAGACCAATCTGGCGGACGTCATTTGCGGAGGTGAGGATTTCAGACGGTCTATCTCCTTCTGAGAAAGGAGGGTGCCTCGAAAATTGTCATCTCGAGGCGAAACATTCGCGTGGAACGGTTGAAAGCACATCGTAAGGGATAGGAAATATTATGAGATTAGAGAAATTCATGCATTTTTAGAGAGATCTTGGGAGAATTACAAAATAGATGTTTCTATCAAACTTTTGCGTTTTACTTGAAATACACTGAGATAAAATTGACAATTTTCGATCATTCTTCTTTTATCGTTAAGCATTTTAGTAGACTCGAGTGGTGCTACTTTCGAAAACTAATTTCTGAAGATCGATATTAAATAAGCAATGATTTTTGTATATTCTAACGTGAAATTAATACTTTAAAAGAGGAATGTATCTAAACTCGTTGGATGCGGATTCTAGGGTATATAACGTTAATTAAAACGATTCATTTAAATCCGATCTACATATCCTGACTTTATGAACCTGATACCATCCGCAGGTTACACTTTAAGTTTCTGTTTAACATGGTGACAGAAGATCCGGGAAAAGTCTCAGAAAAAGTAAAGTACTTGAACCAAAACTGTAATCCTGAATGCCACTTCCATTTGCATCTTAATATCTGCTATCGCAATCTTACATCCCCGTGTTACTTCGCGGAAAATGCAACACTCATGGTAGTTTGAAACTTCTCTGTAAACGTCTACGCAATATCATCGTAGATATGCGGAGCAACCTGTAGAACAAAATAAAGGGTAAAGTCTACGAGCGATAATCTAGTGTCTGGTTGTACCCGTCGCGAAAGCAGGTACAGGAAACACCAATGAAACGAAGACCGGTAGAAAAGATCGAATTAGTCGATCAAGGGTAGGTTGACGCGAAGAAGTTTCTTCGGTATTATAGTAGTGCGCATGATCCTATTAGGGCGAGATATAAGGTGTCTATTCGAGTTTCTACTACAGAATGCACACGTGCAGACATGTGGATCAATATACATTATTGAACCATTTGTATTCCTTATAGAATAAAATGAAGAAATGTGTCGATTCATGGAATCACCTGAAACTTTTTTCTTATCTATGATACTTCACTCTTCTCTACAGAATTACCTTCGCTATAAATCACACTATATAATTTTCATATTCGTATTCATCGCATTCTTCCACTCAACACAACTTAAAATTCCCTTAACCCCTCGTCTTTTGATTCCTTTCACAACAGTACCTGATAAAATTCCTTTATACTTAAGAACGTAGTACAAAAAGAAAAGAATAAAGATATATATATACATATCCTATACCCACGTGTACTCTACAGTTTAAAATTCGATAACAGAGTAATAAATTCACGTCAACCACAAATAAATAACCTTCAAATCCATCGAATTCAGTTTAAAATATTCATCACGAGTCTGACACAATATTATATTCGACGCGGTTCGGACGAATCAGACCAGACCCATTCATCTGAAAACCTACAAAACTGAAGAGCCCAGGAACGCCTGGGTTCCTAATGGGATCGTGGCTTTCGTCGCGTCTCACGCGAAAAGATGGCCAGGAAACGCGGCGCTCGTAAACCGACGCAGCTCGCCCGGGGACAAACTGGTCGATCGGGGCAGACCCGTTCGGCACGTGTTCGGGGATCGTTCCGAGTGTCCAGGAGGAGGTTCGCCAGCCGCCGCGCGGGTACCTAACCTTTTTCTCTCGAACTCGATGGACGAGTCCGGCGCGTTTATGTTGTTGTCGTCCTTGGCAGCCACGCAGAACCGCGCGCCGGAAGACCGCGGCATTCCTGCTCCGGCGTCGGGCGATCGGCTCGAAAAATCGCCGGCGATTCGATTTAAATTGCGCCCGCGTTATCTCGGCATTTAGAGTGCCCTGTCCGCGCGTTGACCGCGAATTTATGCCCCCTCCGGCGCGCGATGCGATGCGACGCGACGCGACGCGGAATTAGAAATTCAAATGGCCGCGCGCCGTATCGCGCCGCGCGAAGAAAACTCCACGGGCGTTTTCTTTATCGGGAGCGTCCCGGGCCGGGATATGGTAAACGCGATCTCGACACGCGGCGCGATAACATGACCGCCGCGTTATATATCGTCGCGCGGTATCGGCGCGCTTTGCCACCCGGTACAGTGTTGCGTGCATCGATGCTGCGTTCTTGGGCCGCATGCCGGGCGCATACACGCGCATCCTGCGAGCGGCTTGATGGAAGAAACTCGGCGACTTCGGAAACACGCCGATAAATTCCGCGATGTTATGTTTAGCCGAGCGTGTGCACCATTTTGGTATTGTTTTCATTAGTATTGCCTCGGTGGACGCGGTGCTTGGAGATACTCGGGTGCTCGCCGCGCCGCTGAGGTCAGCCATTTTGTTTGTCATAAGTGATTAATATTAATCAGCGTGGAGCACGCCGCGTGGTTCGAAAAATATGAGGGACAATGGAGATTGTTGGATTTTCCGTAGCGTTGTGGAGTCCGGAGTGGTTTTATGGTTAGATGCCCCGTGTAGGATAAGTGATTTTCATTTTGTAGCAAAAGCACGAAGCACGTGCACGCATAATTTGTGCCCGCGTAGCGAGAATAATTCTGACCGCCAAGGACATGCGCCGCGTTAGCTATAAACGGAGAGTATCATTCGGGCGGCGTGTACATGTAGCAAGGTATCGCTGGACGGATCAGCAGTGCGGGCTCGGAGTGAGTCGCCATATTTCTCGGCGGGGACTACGAGGTTGCATGCGCAGCCTAAATACAGAGTTCCGTGGAAGGCTGGTCAAAGTTTCGGAGCCGCGTTCGGAGCGGAATTTTCTGGCGCGTTGACACGGAAACACCTTGCACGACTCGTACGTGCATACGTCAGGACTCGTATGGGGGACGTACACGCGAGCATCCGAGCGCACAGACGCCGTGTGCCAACTCGGCGATCCCTGGAAAGCGTTTAGCGCGGCCGATATATTAGCTATTGGTCACGACATTGTCTACCGTTACACACGCTGTCGGGATCACGTGGGGGGCCGCGTATATAATCTTCCTACTTTTCTCTGACTCGTTCCTCGAGTGATTCTCACGCCGGTAACCCACTCGGTCGTCGCCACCGCCTCTGGCTATGTACCGCGATGAAAATCAGGGACGAGGTTGTTCCACTTTTTGAGAACATGCTGACTTGCGACTTCCGAACGAACCGCGACATGAATTCAAAAGTCGTGAGTCCGTTTCCACGCTGATCAGTTGGGAAGCATTGAACTTCGTTATGGTTTTCGTAGGAGGAATGGAGTGGCATTGTTCAACGAGGATCGCGAACGAGGAATAAGTAATTTTCTAGCAAAGTGTTTTAGTATGTTGGTCGATGATGGATTTCAATGGTTACTATTGTCTATGGAGATATTGAATAGTATCAAAATTGAAGAATCCATAAAGGTCTTGGAGTGGCAGTAGGCTAGTAATAATGAAGCCTTAAAGACAAGGTCACTTCAAGAGAAAGCCCCCTGTGTGGTCCAATGGGAAGATGGGAATGCTGTGGGTGTAATGATAGGCTTACTGTAGGGTCCAAGCGTCGTTGGTAAAAATTGACTGATATAACGAAGCCATTCCAACTTGATTTGCTACCTCTAATAGCATTCAGTATTCTCTAACAATGTCTCTTTATTATAATATATTCGACTGTCTTCCCACAATACGCAACAACTAATGGTTCTGTCATAAATTGCAATTGTTTCAGGTAACCCGAATGACAAAGTCCTGTTCGCGAGGTGTCGGTCAATGCCAGGACGCCTGGAAAGGCGACACTCTCTCCGGCTTTGGGGATCCGCCAGACGCTTGCACAGAAGTGGAAGTTCTCGGTCTTTGCCACGAAGGCCAGAAAGAAGCGACACTTCATCGAGCGCAGAATACGCGAGCACGGACAGCGCACCGCATAGCCCAACCAGTGAGTCGAATCGGGGAAGGGATTGTTTTGGTGATGGGTGATCGCTTGGCCTTCCTTTCAAATGCTATAAACTGGGCCACACCCTCTAATTAAATTCGAAGCTTTCGATTTGCTTGCATCATTTTCACTCGGCCGAATGATTTCTTTCCCATAACTTACATGCACCCGAGAAATATCGCGGCAGATTACGGCTTGGGCAGCGTATGGTACACAGGAAACAATTACAACTGAAATTTAAACGAAACTTTCATGGCAATGGCGAACATCTTCTCACGCAAGCATCTTCTCAGATAAATTCTTTAACCATGCTTTCTCTGTCGGCGTCTGCGTTTATCGCCGAGACGAAAAACTCCAACCGAATGCTCTTCCGACATCCTGTTCTCGGGACGGTCGGGGAAAGGTAGCATTACTCGCTGCATCACGATTAAGCATCCAAATAGAAGCTTTTTAGACACCCCTAGCTGGCAAGCCCTTCCTCGATCCCCGATCTTGCATAATACGAAATGCAACACCGTTCCCTCTTTTCTCAAGGTTTCTCCGGGATTTTTTCAGAGAAAATAGGTCTACTCTCGAGGCTGTTCCGGCGCAGCACACGGAGGAAGGGTGCACCGTTAATGGGCACGTTCAGCGCTCAGTATCCTCCTACCGAGTGGTTTAACCCACGTGTCGTTCACCTACACAGCGTAGCCACGCAAACGAGAGCTGCTAGCCCTTCGGTGAGTTGAGCGAAGTCAAATACATTCCCTTGTAAAAGCGTGCGCGTGATTCTTTCTAAAAACACTCGGAAATTGAAAGCGTACGAAACGATTAAATGAAATCCTCGAAATTACTGCAGGAGAACGTACAGGAAATCGAAAATCTTCGCACCGAAATTATACCGTGAGTTCAGAAAATGAATCATTCACAAACGATCGTACGAAATCATATTCGAATTTGCTTGAACGCGAGCTAATAAGTTCACGCTTAATTTTCATGCTTAAACAACAAGCAAATTTCTTAAGTCTTCGTTTTAGCAGCGGGAACCAGATAGAAATGAAAATTTTTTATAGAGCATTGTTTGTCTTTTCAATTACGATAATTGTTAATAGTTATTACAGCGTAGAATGCATAAAATGCAAGAACCTTTTTACTGAACCAAGCTTGTGACTCTCTGGTAAAGCACTTAAAAGTTTCAATCATCTTGGCACATTCTATAAGTGTAATCAATCTTTTTCGGCGATCTATATAATCGAGTATCGTTTCCAGATGATGGAGGGTTTAGATCAATCGCAGGCCAGTTTCCAAGTTTGGGACGATTCGAGCTCGGTGCGATCCGCCACCCTGCCGAGGCGGCATCGTCGCCAAGCTAGCGGCGACTCCTCTAGCTTACTGGCGAACTCGACACCCAGAAGTTCCAGACGACATCGATCGCCGTGCTCGACCCTGCCCAGATCGAAGTGCTCCAGTTTAAGCAGATGCACGTCCAGAGCGTCCGTTCTTCCGCCGACCGGCAATCAGGAATCGTACCAAGGTCGCAATCCGACGCAAAACGGCAAGAACTCGGCGAATTCGTCGCCGAGCAGAAGCGGTGGAAGTTCCGGCTCTGTTCGAACCACGAACGCGAGTCCCGCGAAAACGGCCACGCTCGGCCGATCCAGCACGAGACAGTCGAACTCACGACGGCCTAGCCACGATTCCACTGGCAGTGGTACGAAATCAAATGGATCGCCCCAACACAAGGTACGAAGATATTCTGGTAAAGTTTACGGCTTGTTGCGTATGAAGTGGCGAAATTATATGTGAAGATCAATACATTCGTAGTAGATTGAAGAGCGAATTGTCTTACGATTGCAAGACGACGGCAGTTTTGTTAATTGAACTAACGAAAGCGCAGCGTATAACACGTATGATAGCGGACAATGGATTAGAAGTAGCGTCTCGAAAAAAATGAAGTTAATTAAAGCTATGAGATCCTCGTGATAGCTTCTTTAATAGACGTCTACTGGAAGCTATACCGTTGAAGAGACATTGTAATATATCGCAGCCACATTGTATGTAACAAAACCATTTCAATACCAATCAATAAACTCATACGCGATTTTTGTCCAATCAAAGACAAGAAGGTCTAAACAATAGAACCTCAACAGGTTTTGCAGAAGACATCATCCGGCCACTCGTCCCACTCCAGTGGAAAATCGATTTCCAGCGGTAAACTCTCGTCGTCGCCATTGAAAACGTCCACACTGCCAGCCAAATCCTCTCCATTGAAAGTGGTTCAACAAGGGTCCCTAACCCCCCTACAGGAAGCACAGAACTCGATCACTCTGCAGGTGTCCACGAACTTGACTCCGGTGAGTCCGACGCAAGAGCAACGCGCGATACAGAACAGCGTGACACTAGCCTCGAACGCGACCAGCACGACCACCATTTCCGGATCCCCTGGCACGAAGATCTACGTGCAGCAAAACAACTCGCCAATGAGATCGGTGATCACCTTCGAAAACGGCACGGTAAAGACGAAAGTGGCTGAGAAGGAGGACTGCAAGGAGAAGCAAGATCGAGAGTTGCTGGGCGAGAAGATCTACAAAACCAGGATAGACGATGAGAAACTATACAAATCGAAGCTCGACGACGAGAAGCTGAACAAGTCGAGCAAGCTCGAGCGGCCGTCTTCTTTATACGCTTCCAAAGAATCAAAACCGAGCCTGCTATCCGAATCTGACAAGGAGAACAAGCCCAAAGTCGAGGAAGAAATGTCGAACAAACTGAAACTGACGAACCGCCTGAACAACAGCCAGGCTCATCTGATCGACGGCTCGACGAACAACATCGACAAGAACTCTTTGGTAAACGAGCATCCGGCTACGACCCTGTCCAACACGAAAAACACCAACGACGCCATGAACAATTCACGAAAGCTGAGTCTCTCGCTGTCCAAGGACGCGTTGAGCTATAGAAATCTCTTGCGTCCAGGCTCAAAGAACAACATAGCCTCTAATCCGCCGTCGCCCACGAAATCCTTCGACGGATTCGGTGGATCGTTCAACAACGTTTACATCGAGAACCTTGAAGTGACGAAGCAGAGGGCTCCTCAGGGCTCAGAACCGAATTTGGAAAAGACGGTCAGCCGGGGCGACCTCTACACCTATCCCAGCCTGAGCGACATGCAGGTGCAATTCACCAGCCTGGCGGCGCAGAAGATCCTCAAGGGATGCCCGATCAACAGCGTGGACACCTTGGTCGAGGTGAACACCGCGGCCGCCGAGAAACCGAATAACTGCGACGTCACCGTGCACACCGATTTCGGGCTCGTTTAACGGTTTCTTTCTCGTTGGACCGCGCGGTTCCTCGCGCGCCTCGTACAGTGAATGATTGAACTTTAGCAGGGACGGACCTGGTCCGTGATATATACATATATATATATATCGTATCCCAGTACGGCCGCGTCGTGGTAGACGTGTTTACATAGCGAACGGAGAAAACGGTGTACTGCTTAAGCATATAGAGAGCACTGTAAACAGTTACCAATAAATAAAAACGTTCATTATGTCTTGACCGACGCACGGCTCGCCGTCGCTCGCGTTCTTCTCTTTTACCCGACAGGTCTTTTCGCTATTCGAAAATCGTTTCCGGTTGTTTGTATCGTTAATCATACCGCTCGTGCTTCCATTGACCATCTATATGCTTACGCGGATGAACGTTCGTTATAGCCTGGTTTTTTGTCGGCGAAGAGATCCGAGGCATATGATGATCATAATAGCTGTCCATTCCACTCTAATTAGTCCAGGTTTAATAACACATGGATAATAGGAGGGGGGCGGATGAGTATTATGGCTGTTAATGTACTCGAGCCTTTTCTTGCGGAAGACGGGCTATAAATTGTATAAATAAATGGCAGCCATTCCACAGAAAGTATTCGTTAGCTTACTTCTAGTTGTTTAGAGCACATTCAGGAATCCGGTGACAACGCAATTCGCAAAACAGGAAACCTTTGCTTTTGGTAAACGTATCCGTCGAGGTGTGAACGCGATCGTTGCATTGTCGTTTTTTGGCGAGTGGTTCGATTCGTTTTTGTAGGACTCGCGGAGGATTATGATTGTCTGCACTGCTCGGAACAATTCGGAGGTACGGTGGATTCTTTGGGGAACTCGAGGAATTGACACATCGGGGAAATGAAACACTGCCTATAATGATTACGATGATATTCTCACGAAATGTTCAATTTACGGTGCCTCATAGATTAATTCGTGTACTACCTTCTCCCTCGCACAATGAATATACTTATTAGAATATTATATTCGAGACTAAAGTTTATTGGAACTTAAATGTTAAGGTATTTTCTCGATGCAGAGGATTAGAGTATTTTCGTCGCGCACGAGACCGTCAACCGTGGTGTTCAATTGAATAGTCCGGAACGTTTGATCGATAGTCACAACTTAGCTAATATAGGATGTAAACGGATAAGTGTAACATGAGAAATCAAAATGCAATAAATTGTTGTTGATGATATTGCAAGGGAAACGTAATGTAACTAGTGATTTTGTAGGACTGTGCACGATGGATCAGTAGAGAACGCTGCGTAATGCGACACAACTGTACAATTTTCTAAATTATTCTTGAAACTCGAGTGACTGAATTGTGTATCAACCACTGAATAAAACGATTACGAAATAAACAACGTCAACTACAGAATCATATACTCGCAAGTTTTATTTCAAGTGAATGGAGATTATTTCAAAAATTCATTCGAATACCAGAGCAATCGTCCAATTATTTCGAGCAGTATCTCCTAATTTCTAGACACGTATATTAGCAAAATTCATCTGCAACTCACAATGCATCGAGCGAGTCACATTTCGTCCGTCAATCATTGTTTCTTATTAACTTATCACGGGAAAAAGAGATCGTCTATAAACGGGTACCACAGCGTCGTAACGTTGGCAGTTTTGCATCGCTTTACGAAGCTAAAGTGATTTGCTAAAGCAATACTTCACGTACGATAGCCTGACAATTGCCTTACTCGAACGAGAGAGAAAGAGAGAGTGACTGGGTGAGAACGAGAGAAACTGAGAGCGAAAGAGAGAAAGAGTCAGAAAGAGTGAAAGAAACTGTGAAAATGAGAATGAAAGGGAGAGATACGAAAATATTTTGCGTGAATCCAAATACTGCCAATTTTCTAGCGTCGACATAGATTAATGAAAAAGAAAAAGCGTAAGGGAGACTCCGCGAGTCTCCGTTGGACGATGTGTAAAAAGTGGTAATTTAAAGAGCACCATTCTTTCGTTTCCGGTTATCCCATCACCCCAACCATCACCGCCCCAGAACGAGCGTCTACAATAAATCAGACGACATTTTGTTTCGGTCGATATGCCAAAGTAGAAAGGGAGCGTAGCGCAGTCAACTTTTATGATAGAATTTAGGCATAGTCATTGACCACGCGTGCACCACTAACAGAGATGCGAATACAAACGGAAGCGTACCATAAGGATATTCTTAATCGTATTTCGAATACCCGTATTTGAAACGGGCTACGAATTTTTATACGAAACGAAAATTCCGTTGGCCTCATTGATCGATCATCGGAGAAGACGATTTTCTACTTGAAGTACGCATTTATATACCTCTAAGGACAAACGGTCAAAGAAATTATCGGTGTGAAGTGTTTCGATCGGAATCGTTGCTCGTAACGGAAAAATTTGAACGAACTTCGATATGCCGCGCGCACGCGCGGCGCGCTTGCCGCCGATTGGCTCGAGATTCGAACCGGCTTTCTTTCGTTGCACGCGAACATCGTTGCGCGCCCGAGACACGGAACAGAACGGTGCATGTCCCCCTCTTTCCGGAGAACAAGCGGTACCATTTGAATTGATTAGTGCAATGGTAAAATCTAAGTGCCAAAACAAGTTCTTAGTACTTAAATCGCCTTTGAACGGTCGCGGCGCGATTCCGTGGCGGCACGACCGCGATGGCGTCGCGCTGCGGACCGGCTGCAACCCGTTTAACGTTCGAATCATAATTATTATTAACCTTAAACGTAAAGACACGTAGTCGTAAGACGGCAGGTAAATGAGAGAGAGAGAGACCCCTGGACGCCGCTGTCGTGCCTGCTTTGTACATTTCATACATTGTATTTGCCGATTAACCGATTTAGCAATCGCTCGATACACCTCCGCGTCTTCCATTTTCTCACGGAAATGGGAGTACACGAGCCTTTTACGCCCTTATTTCTTATCGAAGACTAACTTGTAGAGTACCATTGTGTAATCTTGCTCTATTATAATTATAACAACGAAAGCGTATGATAATAAAACAAAAACATGGAAAAAGTGTGTGCCGTGTCTTCCCTGTGTAACCTCTTAACCCTTTGTACTCCGAAGTCTTTCGCTAGAAAAATTTTAACGTCTTCCGATGAGATGAGGAAGATATTTAAAGAAGACAAAGCTGTTTTATTTTAATATTTCTAAAGTTGATGCATTAGACAAGATATTGTATTAAATATCAAATTTTCCAGTTTTACTGTGTGAAATCAGGTGATGAGTGGGAGTCACCTCTCGAGTGCAAAGGGTTGATTTCATGATTGTCATTAATCGGCAACATTTTGTTTGTATAGGTTTCTAATAGTTGTTGTGTAATATCTATCGGTAGTTTCGAAGGAATTGAATGATAGGGAAATGATACTTACCGAAAATCAATGATGTTGGCTGGTCTTTTCGATGGGTGATTATTGGACAGCAATTATGACAACATCTGGAGTTACCTCGGGATTATAAGTTGATGAATCGATGCACTATTACTTTAGAACTTTGATACTGGTTGATTTTAAGCAAAATAACTGAGGATGACGTGATTTTTCTTGGATAATTCACACCTATCTTCTGCCCGACGTGAGCTTGCGAAGAACAGTTTAAAATTAATGGCTGACGCGGATGCAGCGCCACCTGGACACAAATGGCGCGAAACAATGAACCAATTCAAATTGAAACTACAGAGACTACTGCGTTTATTGATCCATTTTCCATTTTGCTTCACACAGTATCACATTAAACTCTCAAATTAGTTTTTAATATATATATATATATATAAATTTATCTTAAGGAATGTTTAGAACGGTTTTTGAGAAATTTTATTTAGAAAATAATTCAGATTTGCAATAAATAGATTTAATCAAGGAATAAACACGTTCACATTATCATTATCAATCTTTCAATTTATTTCTTTTGTTTCGTTTTAATAGAACAAAAACATGACATTATTAAGAATTTATGGGAATATAATAAATACAGCATTATTGGTGTTAAATCGTAGGGTAATTAAACAAATTTCTATATTTTATACACTTGTTATGAAAGATATAATGAAGCCTTAAGAAAATGGTAATATAGGTTAACGTGTAAAGATTTAAAAAAATTTCTCTGTACAGACAATTATATTATATATATATATATGTAGAACATTTTTTACGTATTTATGCCAGTTTCTTAATATTAAATTTCTTCATCGTCGCCAACATTTAATTATTGGCACTTTTCCAATTACAAACTTCAAATCTACTTGTGAAATTCATCTTATTTTAGTAACAAGTGAAAATGAAATTTCCGCGACTTCTCTATATCTTTCTCAATTAAATTTCGTCGTAATACATAAGAAACTTCTTTTAACCTATAATCATGCTGTCGAGGAAAAACTAGCAGCAATTAGACAGCATTCTCGATGGGTATTTCGCAGAAGAACGGGAAAGTTGAATCGCAAGATACGTCGTCGAGCGTGCCTTCTGCAAGGAAAGCGCCACAATTTTGAGTTCCAGCATTGTCCGGTTGTCCGCCCCACTTGTCGCTCCATTTGGTGAATCCTGTCTTTGCGAGCGATTCGTCGAGAACAGTGACCCAGTCACCCTCCGAGTAATAATCGTGTATGCCGATGAATGCTTCGTCATTGTTCGGAGCACCTTTCACGGGACCCGCTTTATGGAAGATTTCCGATAAAACCTATAAAAACGAATGGAAGTTATGGTCTCCGCTGATCATTGCAATTTTGCTCAGCTAATAATTTATCTTTACTTTACGTTTACCGCCAAAAGTAAATACTGACAGCAAAGTAATATTATTTCAATCCAATTGGGAAGATTTAAAAGTATAATAATATTCGGTAAATTCTTGGAATTAATAATTTATGAAGATGATAGAACGTGGCTGGAACTTACGCGTGCTTCAGCTTTCGAGTTAATAATAGCCAGATGTCCACCCTCTTCTTTGCAGATTATTCGCGCGGCGTTCCAAGTTACCGATCTCGTGTGGAGTTTATGCAAACCAATGTCGGGTGTGTATACGTAGTCATCACGTAATTCCGGTTTACTCAATTTGAGATCGTTCTTCAGAAGCAGTTTTTGCAGTAGTACACTGTCACTTTCTTCTTGGCGGCTGCAGGGTTCACGCCCGGCGCATGGATCGTGATTTTGGTCATGTTCGGGACAGTGGCAAGTAGACGCGGTGTCATTCTGCGAGCAAATGTAGTGTTTGATTTCATTTGTTACATCTTCAAGAACATCCACGTCAGCTGTCGGCGGGTAACGGATATTCATGTTGCGTGGTCCGGCACAGATTATCGATGGGTAAATTATTAAAATGATCCATTTGGCTACAGAATTGGTCCCAGACATTTCTTAGATTTCTCTTGTTAGACAGTCAGTGAAAGATTTATACGCTGCAGCAGTGACTTCTAGTTTGCTCTAAAATTCTTTCGTCTCTGGTGAAGTTTCATTTAACAGAGCCAATACTCAACTACGATCGGAACTGAACACTGTCACGCCCTTACTATCTGCCGATCAGACGGCAGAAATCTGCCAGCAATATTTGAATGGCAAAGCTCGAAAGACCCGCCCAAAATGGTTCATCTTCGAATCAAATTCTTTTGACAATTGATTGCCCGAATGTCGGCGTTCCTTATTGGTGTCGGTTGATGGATATTCTCAATCGGTCAGATATAGGAACTAATTCCTTTCGGTCGTAAAATTCAAAGATAAGAAATATATGTATTTTTTAATTTGCGATTGAAAATTTAATAGCGTCGAATAAAATCAATGGTTCGTTTATAGCATGAAGGACGCAAGTCGCATATGTACAAGTCATTCCAGAGTTATGTTAATGAAAACTGACAGGCTTGACTTGAACTTGCCATGTTTTAATGACGTGCAAATTCTAACAAGGTACAAATTTGGAATTTCAATCGTTCCAAATTCGTGAGCTCCATCTCGTCTTGTGGACGTGAAATAGCAACCGTTACCTTGTCGGTATTGATAGAGTTCCAAAAATTCGTGGCAGTTGATAAGATTAAGACGGAAATTCTGAAGTCAGGAAAATTTGGATATTATTTTTATATCTCATCGATAATTTAAATCTATATCCACCAAAAGGTAAAAATACATTTTACGATGGACATGTGTTCATGTCTTATCGATCATCGGTTATGTCAACTTTTCGAATCAAATAATTTAAGTTAGTTGTGGATAAGCTATTAACGAATTCGAGATATTCATTCTAGAACAGCAGGATGTATTTAATATAACAATAATTATACTAATAATGGATTCAACTCATGAGATAACATATAAATGATTCTGTATAAACTATCATTTAATGTACTCTTCCAATAACAAAACAATTATATAATTCATTAATTATTAATACATCACACCATCATCATTCATTACTGACGCTTAATCGTATTAGCGTTGGTACATAAAAACAAGACCTGAATTATCGACACAGACTGATCATGGATTCTCTGATAAATGATAACAGAAATTACTTCTTCATTGCAGAATCACACACCCATACTACTGAAATGACTTCTAAAACACAATTCAATATACATTCGTCAAAACAATAATGCCGCGACAGATATAAGGTATAACAAACTTTCTCCATAAAGAATCTTCTAATCTTCTAAAATCCAAATCAATTCTCCACTACGTGAATAAAGTTCTAACACTCTACATACATTTCTTTTAACATATTCCAAATCAGACGCCCAAATGAAACGCTTCAAAACGACAATTCATTCCGCTAAATCATTCAAGTAAAACGATTCGATTACATCTGAAATTCGTCTATCTCTCAAACAAGCCACCGACTCCGCATGCCCGTGCCCTAAATAATTGGAATCGAGTCCGACGTTAAACCGCATAATCCTTTTACTTCGTTTCCATTCCCCGTTCCCCGGAACTGGTAAAACGGAACAGCCGATCGTTTCATTGCGGCTAATTGATTCAGACGTTAACAAACCCCAGGCCACGGATATCCACCGACATCCCCGGGACACGGTGTTAAAACTCCGTGAAAGTTCGAAACCGGTGACCGCAGACCGTTCATCCCCCTCGGGTAAATCCCGGTAAGAAGGCGGTCCGTGGGGGAGTCTCATGGACGCCGGACCGTGGAGAGTATTCCTCCGGTCGGAAGTAACGGCTATCCGATCGGAATCGAACACATTAGTTAATCCGGTTTCCGTTTTACTTCCTAATTGCTTAAATCGCCTGAAAAGTTTGAGCGGAGACTGCGCGGGGTTGCGCAGCCGCGTCGAGGGGCGCACGCTGCGCCACTGGCCGTTCCGCCGGGTTAGGTTGTACTCGGGCTTCACGTCGTTCGCCAACCCTCTCCTCATGCTCAGTACACCCCAAGCTATCACCGTGGTCGGTAGGTTTCACCCGGACACACAATACTCGCCACGGACAGCACGCGCGTACATAACAACACACGCGCTCGACGTCGCACTAATTCCAATTACACCGACACCCCGTCAACCACCGCCGTTCGATCATCGATCCGGGCAATGAAACGATGATCCGCGGGATCGGCAGCACGAAACACCACGAAAACATGAGATCCCCGACCATTGCGTAGGTAGAACGTTTACCGGTTGCTTGACAGACAACGCGAACGAAACAACCCTGATCGCCCGCCGAGAGGACACGTCGGATCTCAGAAATCGTACCGATGCGAAAATGCGCAAGGGGGCCCGGTATCACTGAAAACAGGTGGAGAGTGACGTCGCGGGACCGTGGTCGTGCCTGTGAAGATTACTACTGCGAAAGGTCAGCCTCGCTACAACCAACCCCGTCAGAGTGAGTAGAATGATTTATACTTAGCAAGATTGATGTTTGCCCGCTCCGCCTGTCTCGCGAGGGATTCTTTTCCATTTGGGTATTGGTTTCCGCGACGACGTCGAGTCCCTCTAATGTAATTGACTTAAGCTCGGGTAACGTTATTCCGATCTGATGTTCAGTATTTACATCATTCCGCCGGTTGCCCGTTCAAACGATCCACCGCACGGTGGCCAAACACGTGCGTGCAGCATACTAATCGCGCGTGGTTAACTCGGACCGGGGACAACTGACCTAGCCCAACCTAACTTTCAATCGGATGTCAACAAACGTGACACCGGCAACGGCGAGGCCGGAGAACAATTCTCGAAATAGTCTCGTTCCGATGAAAAGCGAGACATCCCTCGTACCCGGTGGTTAATAACCGTCGGAGATAAAAGCCTTGGGCCTGGTCGTGCAATCATCACAGACGGTCCTATTAACAGAGCCCCGGTACCAAAAGATGCGTAAATGAGGCCACGAGCGTCAAAAACGTGGCAGGATGACGGGCGAGCGGTCGGCCGAGGGCGGGAGGGATGGGTGCGAGTGAAAGGGATGAGGACGGGGAAGGGTGAATTGAAGAATACCCTCGGTCCTGGTGGCTGCAAGTGCAGCACGCGCCGGTTGAATACGTAGAGACAGCCGCATACCCTAAGTCAGCCAGGTGTGAGTGACATCTGCGAAACGCTGTCAGCCAGCGCGCAAGCGCCTCCACCTGTAGATACGCGCTGCGCTGGTATACGCGGGGGTTAAATGCTAGATTTATCCGTCGGTGAAACAGAGCACACGGCCGGAATATGCGGATCAATAGAATTACTTTTTCTTCTTCGTTCCCATCATTTTTTTCGCCTTTCCTCCTTCAGCCGTCTTTCTTCGCGAGTTCGCGGAGGAACGCATCCCTTTCGCCGTTCGGGCGCGACGCCGTCGCCGGGGTCACGGGATCGCCGAGAGAGAGTCGCGCGTACGTGCGGAAACGAAGCAACGAGGAGAGGAGATCGATAAAATTACGTATCTCCCGCGGAAGAGTCCGTTTGTACTCGCAAGTACGGCCCCGTGTATTGCTACCCGCCCTTCTCTCCACCCTCGGTCTTTTATTACAACCCCGTTCCTCGTTACGGAATGTTATCTCGCGATCGTAGACACCGCGGAACTGTGCTGCGTCCGCGGACCGCTCTCCCCCATTCCGCCCCGGTTGCTGACGCTTCCCATCGGATGGAAAAATGTTTTCGTAAGGGTCCCCGGGATCCCACGACGCGCAGAGGGAAAAAGGAACGGGGGAAAAGCGCGGCGGGCTCTCCTGGTTATGCCGACTTTACGAGGGGCGAAGGGGGTAACGACGCTCGCGGAAACGATCCACTTCCGCCGCCGGATAGAATTTATTCCCGCTGAGAAGCGGAATGATATCCGACGGAAGGGATTTTTCGAGTGGCGACCGCGATTCGAAAAACAGTCTGTATGCATTTTTCGTCCGCGGAGGTTCGTCGGTTGCTCGTTTTTTTAGCACAGCGGTGAGCGGAGGGGAAAGGGGACGAGAGAAACGCGGAGGTATCGGGTTCGCTGCGAAATAAAACGAAAGCGAAGCAAACGAGCGAACAATGCGGCGTTTCGGTTCTTCTCGATGGAGGGTGTTTGTTTAATCGATATCGACGGCGTTTCTTTTCGCGAGACGCAGCGCGCACGGATGGTCGACCCGCGAAATGTATATCGGGTAACACGGTAGAATAAAAAGGCACGTGACGTTTTGTACGCGATTTTTCAAGCTACCAGTCATACCAGCGTGCGAGAGGAAGCCCGGCTGATCTCGTTAAGCAATTTAACGGGATTCCGGCCGCGCGCCGCTCTCGCGACTGCAATACTGTCCGCATCGCCTCCTGCTTCCCATCCTATTATCGTTCTCATTACCGTCGACGTTGTTTTCATTATTCTTATTATTGCTGCCCTGTCGCTGGTCGGCCGACTGTTCCCCGTTAATATGTAACCCCCCCGCCGCGCCGCCTGTAGCGTCATTAACATTAGCATTTTTATGATTATTAACGGTCGTAAGCGTTGTTATTTTCGCCGGTGCGTCGGCAAGGGCGAGGAGAATGCATCGCGACGCCCCGTTATGAATTGCATTACCCTTTTCAAAACACAGGCGGCGCGTTACGCGATACCGTGCGGCACGAGCGGAACGGTAATGCCACCCCCGTGGCTTCTACCGCTTTAAACCGGCCGCCTGTGTTCGTACGCGTAAAATCTGCGCGCGTACAATGGTACACGAAATAAGGGAGCACAGGGAGAACGAGGGAGAGAGAAAGAGAGAGAGAGAGAGATAAACAAGACTGAGATCGGGGTTGGAAACGTGTGTGCGCCGGTTAGTACAATGCCCGTCGCTCCGGCGCGGCGTCGGGTCAAAAGTTCCGAACTTTCGTCAGTCGGCTACATATGTTACCGAAACGGTAGCTACGGTCGCGGGCGTGTATCGATCTCGAGCCGACCCGACGAGCAAAGTTCTTGGCGATTTAACGAGAGCCGGCTCTTGACGATGAGCCGCCCCCGAAACAATGCTGCACATCGGCGCGCAACGCCACGAAGTCCGAAACGAACTGCTCGAAAGCAATAGCCCGCGTGCAAGCAACTCGGCGCACACACATTCGCCGCACACCGTCAGCTGTA